GTGGGAGTCCAGTGCTTAACTACTACACCACTTGCTGGCCCCAGAACCCTGTATTCTTTAAATATCATTTCTATTTTATTTTATTTATTCTTTCCTTTTGAAACTTTTAACTGCATTTATATAAAACTGTTTCCAGATCACTTCCTCTTCATCTTTCAGCTCTGTGTCTTTCTGTACCATGATTTATAGTGCTGGGTGATATCATGAAGCATAATTCTGGTTCACCAATTTTCTCTTCAGCTGTGCTTAATCTTTTCTGTAGCCCTTCCATTTTTTCCCCTAATGTTTAGCAATTATATATTCAATTTCTAGAAGTTCTACTTGGTTCTTTTTTAGATATACCATTCTTTATAGTCCATGTTCTTTGCTCATTTTGGTGCCTCTGTAGCTTTTCTATAGGCCATATCTGGCGATCTCAATGTCTGATGTTCTTAGGATATTGTTTCTCCCTCATGGTGACTTGTTACCTCTTGGGCTTAGCGATTGTTGATTATGAACTTGAGAGTCTAATGTGAAATGATTTCTTTCTGAAAGCACTTGTATCAGCTTTGGCTGGGAGCCAGAGAGATTAACTAGGACCACTTCTAGTGCCTACATTTTACTTCTGGCCAGGGCTCAGTGTTTGGATGCCACTATTCCTCTTGGCACCAGTACTGGTAGCTCTTAACTGCCAGTTTACTTTGTAGCCTGAGATTTGTTGCTTTTGAGAGGAGAGGGTGGCTTTAAATGTTCCCCTATTTTTGACCTCAGCAAAACATTAAAAAAGTATTCTTTTAAAAATCTAGGATCTAGTTTTTTTGTTTGTTTGTTTGTTTGTTTGTTTTTTGGTAGTGGTAGAGTTCCCAGAATACTTACTTTAGCATAACTAATGGAATCAGAAGTCCTTTATTTTAAATAATTAATTTTAGTAGTATATTTATTTTAGTTTGTAGTATTGGGTTGTCAGAAAAGTCATGATATATTTTTTTCTATGCAAACATGAGTTATGACTTTCCAACAACCCAATAGAAAAATTCTGTTGTACCAAACAGGGTTTTTTACTGGTATCAAATTTCCAATTAAGACAAATTTACATCTAAGTTATAAGCTGAGCTATTATAAAGGAAAGTAATAAGTAAATAACTGTACAGATGGCTAGTGGATTATACAATGAATCCTCTGGACCCATGATGACCCTAACAGAGATAAACCTGGGATGGTAAACCAGTGAAAAAACAGCTATCAGATTATGGGCAGAATGCTCTGGGCTTATGGAGAAGAGATACAAAAAATAAACTTTGTGGTAGTGGGATGATCAGGAAATGAATGCTTCCTGGAATTGAATGTTAAAGACTGATAGGCATTAGTAGCTGCAAAATAAGATTTGTTTAATAACAATAAGCAGTTGGGTTTAATTGGCTTCTAGGTTGTTTGTTACAAAGTGACTGGAGATGATACAGGAACAGGATTACAGAAATCATCTCTACTTAGTGAGGAAGTTGTACTTTATTGTGAAGATGAAGAGATGCTATCGAATGATTTTAAGCAGTAAAATAATATGGTTATTTAGAGGATGCCCAAATTGAATGCAAGACATCAGTTAGAAGATTGCTTGTTAATGAGGTCAGAGAAGAAAAGATGAAGGTACAACTAGACATGACCCTAGGCATGAAGAAATCTATGTGTGCTGGTTTTAGATTTCTTAGGAAAGTAGAAATGACAGCCCTGGGTGGTTAGTTGGATAGACTGAGGAATCTAGATTGACCACACAGGTTTTTGGTTTGAGTAATATGGCATGAGGAGCAGTTAGCTCAGAAACCACATATAGGAAGAGGAAAGTCCTTGATTTCATGCATTTGTTTTTGTAGAGAAATAAAAATTATTTTTGAACTTATTTAATCTGAGGGGCTGTGAGACATCTTGGTTAAGATCCAGTAGCAATTGACAGGGAGGGTTTACAAGTCAAGAGACATAACCCATCTTGGAAGGATTTGAGAGTCTTGGAAGTTTGGAATCCATTGTTTTCTACAATGCGATATGAGTTAATTTAAAGTGGTACCTAGATAAATGCTTGAAAAATTTTTAATAGGAGTTTAATGTGTATGAAAGACATAATTATACATCAAACTTATGATATCATGGACATTATCACTTAGGCCGAGTAAGCTCAATAAAATGGAACTACAAAGTAAAAATACATGTGATAATGGAATGGCAAAAAAACATGGTAAAGCTATGCCAATGGCAAAACCTTAGAAAGTGCTGTCTTAACCACTGCGCATAGTGAATAAGGTCCCCACAAAGAGAGGGTCAGAGTGAGAAGAGAGTATTGACATATGGGTGGTGGGGGATTGAGAAGAAGAGCCCGTGAAGGAGACTGAGGAAGAGCAGCCAGACCAATAGGAGGAGAACCAGGAGAAGATGGTCTGTGGAATCCAGATGAAGAGTTCTGAGGAGGAAGTGGCCACAGCCCGTAAGTGAAAGCTGAAAAGTGCTCTTCAGATTTAGCAATAAAGGTAGGCTGGAAGCATCTTGAACAGTGGAGTTTAAGAAACTGGTCTAATGTTAGGGATAGCTGGTACTTACAGCATTTCCTACATGCCTGATACTCTACTGTCGTGTGTTAACTGATTCATCAGATAGGTAGTATTGTGTCCCCCATTTGATATGTTAGGAAACTGAAGCATAGAGCGTGTGACTTGCCCATGTTTTAAACCCAGGAAATGAGAGAGCCAGGATTTGAGCCTAGGTAGTCTGGCTCTAGACACCACACTCTTAACCACTTTGTCACATTGCCTCTCTAGTCAAAATAAAATATTGTGCCAGTGTTGTTATTGCAGTACTGTTGGTGCTATAGGAGGTATTGGTGAGATATGCTAGGCCTAAATGACCAATATCGTGTTACAGTGGCTCAGCCTGCCAGGTGTGAGCATATTAATTGTGTTGTAACTAATGCCCTGATGGTGTTGTATGAGCTGTGACAGCTCTTGGCCCTTTCTTTATTTATATGCAAAGAAAAATTTTGTAAGACAAGTAAATTTAAAAATGTCTATATTACCCAGGGTAGCATATACCTTGTATTACGTGCTATACTTTGGGTGCTATACAGTATCTTATTTTTTGTGGTCATTGTTCACTTCTGGAATTAAATTATTGAATTATGCAGGTCAGGTTCTAGAAATTAATGATGGCCAATCAGTTGTAGAAGGTCATTAGTGACCTTATTGCAAGCAGTTTTTCTTGAATGGTAGAAATGGAAACCAAATTGTAAGAAACTGAAAGTGAATAAGAATGGGAATTCAAATGAGAGAAAAAGGAAGTAGAGTTCTTGGTAAAGTTGAAAGAGTAGCTATGGGAGGAGACAGGGAGGACATGAACTGGAATGACATGGCTGTGGTCAAAGAGGATGGACTGGAGTGAAAGATTTAAAAACTTACTGAGACCAGGGCAATGATTGGAGCTGGGCCCTGGGAAGCAAGTGCCTAGAGTGGTCGGCAGTGAGGTTTGTGTTAGTTGAGGTAGCAAGGTGAGGGCAGCATCTGCATGGGCCTTGAGGTGACCAGGATGATGGAGGAGAGAGTGGAACACGGTCATGAATTTATAAACATGATAGTAACCAAGAAGGAAAAGGTAGAGGTGACAAGGAACAGTCAGTGTGGTGAAATGGAGTGTTCGAGAGAGATGACTGTGGAATCCAGAGGACCGTGTTGTATTCTTCCTAGCTTGCTGCCTTGAGCATTATTTAATTTTACTGAGAATGTTTTCTTGTCTCTGTAGAAGAGATAATGACAGCTGAGCCGGCCAAGCATTGCTGTGAGAATTCATGTAGTGATGCATGTTAAAACATTTGATACTGTCACACCTAGTATAAGTAGTTTGCTAGGAAGATTATTAATTGTTCTTGTTTTTTGAGGTTTTCGTACAGCAAACTGGCCATAAGAAGGGTTGATGAAAGAAATATATTTTGCATTTCAAGGACTGATGATGGCTTTGCTTAGGAAGAAAAAAGTTGGTTTGTCTCAATAATAGTGGATGACAGTGGTGAAGAGAAAGGATCTAAGAAATGGCATTAATGATTGTGCTGATGATAGGAAAAGAAAGCCAGTACGTGGACAAGAGCTAGAAACCATAAGGTGCTGCATTTTTCAGTGATATTTAGATTTTGTAGCTATTTTCTGATAACTATAAAAATCCTTACTATTGAATTGTCTTAATGGAAAAACTTTAGTCCCATTGAAATAAGTATTGGGTCGTCGGAAAAGTCATGACGTATTTTTCTGTGCAAAAATGTATCATGACTTTTCTAATGACCTAATATTTTTAAAACACGACTTTTAATAATGTGTTTTCCCCTTTAAAGAGTTGCAGTGCTGTGTACTGCAGTGGTGTGAGAGCATTATAAGGTATTGCCAGGAGGATGAAAGGTTGGGTGCCGTGATAGGGAGTTAGGAGATTGACAGATGCCCTGTGCCATGTGGACCTTGCCTCTTGGCCCAAGACCACACTGAGAGGTAGGAGAGTCTGAGCAGCTCATAAGAAGGTAGTAGCTATTTCAGGCCAGGAGGCTGAGATTAAAGCAGAGTTTGAGGATGAGGAAATGGTGTATTTCACAGAAAAAGCAGGTGGAGTCAAAGTGCTCTATTGGGAAGATGCCTTTTCTTCATTTAGCACACACTTATTGAAGGCTTACCCTGGCCTAGGCACATACAAAGATGAATAAAATGCCCTTAGATATCTTTCAACTAATGGAGACACATAAACAGATAAGTTCAGAGTAGAGATGCTAAATAGAAAAAGGAAAGAAGAAAAGAAATAGAGTAAACTGTTTGAAGAGAAATAGTGGAAAAAGAACATCAGAATGGGGACAAGAATCCTCTGGAGCTCAGTTTTCTGATTGGAGTTATTTTCTGGGGGTATAGGTTCCAAGTATTTTTCTAATATAACATAGAAGCCAGGAAAGCAGCTTCTCACATAGCCTCAAATGATTTAATTACTGATCTGGGTTTGTGCTGTTTCCTTAGGATTGTGCACCATGGACGATTTTGCCGAGGGAGATTTCATTGTAGCGGATTATGCCTTGTTAGAACATTGCCCTTATGTGGACAATTATGTCTTTGCTCCAGAATTTGTGACTGATGATTATGTTCGGGTGACTCAGCTTTACTGTGATGGGGTGGTAAGTAGGGCTTGTTAAGTTTTTTGTTTTTAACATTGTATCTTAAAAGGCTTTCTCTGGTTTAGGGCTACCTGAGTTAAGATTTTTTTATGGTTTATGGCTTTTAAGGGGGAGGTACACGCATGCTTTCGAAGAGGTGATTTCAGAAGGGAAAGTAGGCAGCCCCTCACAATAAGAATATTTAAAGCCAGAGAACAAGTGATGGCGAAAGGTGACTTTCTGGTTGGGGATTAGAAAAACTCTTGGGACAGCCATGAAAACAAACCCAGTGGAAACTGAAAAAGGTCTTAAATTAAGAATCATTGACTGGGGACCAGCAGTTAGCGTAATGACTAGGTCGCTGGACTCTCATGTGGTTGACCGCGGTTTGCGTCCCGGACCTGGTGGCTTAAAACTCATGGCGGGCGTGGGTGCGTGGATGCCCAAGATCCCAGGAGGAGAAGGGATTGCAGTGTGGCCATCCCCCCTGGGGGGTGATTTCTTGCTTTCTGTCTCTCTGTCTGTCTCTGTCTGTCTGGCAAGCGCACGTGCCCTGTAGCTAGAACCTCAAAAAAAAAAGAATCATTGGTTGAAGATGTGTTCAATGTGTCTAAGTAAATGTGCACTGAAAGTTCTTAGTTCCAATAATTCTTAGATTAAAAATAAAGAACTTTGGGGGCTTGAAGGTAGCATGGTGGTTGAGACACTGGACTCCCACATGGCTGACTGGTTTGAATCCCAGGCCTGGCAGTTCGCATTCTTGCTTTTTCTCTCTGGTGAGTGCACGTGCCCTATTGCAAATTTAAAAAAGAAAATAATATTACATAAAATTTTTAAAAAAATCAAGATACAGAACTGATGACCAGCTGGTGGTATGATGGTTAAAGGGGCTGGATCCCACATGGCTGGGTTTCCATTAGAGACATGGACCCAGCAGCCTGAAAAACACACTGGGTGCATATGTGTGTGTGCCCACAATCTTGAGAGAAGAGTTTATGGCGTGGCCAGTCCCATTGGGTCATTTCTCACTTTCCCTCTGTTTTTCTCTCTCCAGGGAGCATACCTACACCCTATAACACAATTAAAAAAAAAAAAAAATCAAGCACCATACATTGCATTTTACCAGATATAAATCAAAAGAATTTTTTTCTTTCTTTTTTCCCCATAGGGTATGCAATATAAAGATTATATCCAAAGTGAGAAAAATTTAGGTGAGTATGTTGGTATTTTAATACTAATTTATCAAAAGACTATAAAGGGTAGTTTATCCAGATAGTCATATCAACATAACAGATTTATATGTCTTTTTTTTTGTAAACAGAATTTTATACAAATATGAAGTTATACACGCTCAAAGCTATCAACCCAATAGATACTTATTCAGTTAAACAAAATATCCATAAAAAATGTTAACAATTTACAAGTACATTCACAATATAATCTACTGATTCAAAGACTCCAACCGTTTGCAGTACCTGCAATGGAATTTACAGATGCCTACAACAATTTATAGATCGGGTTAGTTTATAGTTTACATATATTGCTTTTCTTTAAGAAGTACCATTAATGCAAATGTATGATTTGCAATATCCCCATTATAGCAAGAAAAAGAAAATACACTCATAAAATGTGTTAGGTATTGAGACCAGCAGTTAGCGTAATGGCTATGTCACTGGACTCCCACGTAGTCGACCGCGGTTTGAGTCCCAGACCTGGTGGCTTAAACTCATGCTGGGCGCGTGTGCGTGCGTGCCCAAGATCCCAGGAGGAGAATGGAGGAGAAGGGATTGCGGCATGGCCATCCCCCCTGGGGGATGATTTCTTGCTTTCTGTCTCTCTGTCTCTGTCTGTCTGGCGAGCGCACATGCCTTATAGCAAAAAAAAACCTCTCCAAAAAAAAAAAAAATGTGTTAGGTATTTAATATGCCAAGTATTTAAATGATTATTCTCATTATGGCACAAGAATAATACTCTATTAGTGGAAAAAGATAAAGTTTATTAGTCGAACAGTCACCGAAGAGCTCCTAAGAAGTTCCAGAGTAAGATCTGGCTATCCTTCCCATAAAATAAATAGAAGAGCAGCAATCTCTGGATTGCTATAAACATATACTATTAAGATTTCATTTATGTTAATTGGGCCTTGAATAAATTACTTGTTACAAATAAGAATAAAAAAAAATTTAGAGGGATCGGCAGGAGGCATGGTGGTTAAGGGCGCTGGATTCCCACATGGTGCTGGATTCCCACATGGCTGGTCACAGTTTGAGTCCTGGACCTGGCAGCTTGCTTTCTTGCTTTCCCTTTCTCTCTCTCTCTGTCTCTGTCTTGTCAAATTAAAAATAATAATAATAACTAATGGAATTAAATAAATAAATAATTATTTTTTAAAAAATTTAGAGACTGGTTAACACCACTGGCCCAAATGTGGCTTTTCACCTGCTTGCTTATGTATAAGAAAATTAATTTCACCATGAAGTACATTTTTTTTTTCCAAGAGAGATTTTTGCTGTAGAGCATGTGTACTCTCCGGAGAGACAGAGTGACAGAAAGCAAGAAATCATCCCCCCCAGGGAGATGGCCACTCCACAGTACCTTCTCCATTCTCCTCCTCAGGATTTTGGGCATATACATATGCACGCACACCTGGTTTGAATTTTAATCCTCTGGGTCTGGGACTTAAACCTCCAGTTGACTACGTGGGTGTCCAGTGACATAACCATTATGTCATCTGCTGGTCCCAAACTAACTTTTTTTTTTTTTTAAGAGATTTTACAGCAGTGCATGTATACTCACCAGAGAGTCAGAAAGAGACAGAGAGACAGAAAGCAAGAAATCATCCCTTGGGGGAAATGACCACACCATAGTCCCTTCTCCATTCTCTTCTCGAGGTTTCAGGCACACACACACATGCACCCAGCGAGAGTTTTAAGCCACCAGGTCACCAGGTCCAGGACTTGAACCATGGTCGGCTATGTGGGAGTCCAGTGATGTAACCATTACACCATCTGCTGGTCCCTAAAGTGCTGCTCACTCTTAACCATGGAAGCAAAAGTTACTTCTGAAAATAATCTACAGAAATAATATGTAAACCTGTAGAGCTTTGAGATAAACTAAGAATATCTTCCTATGTTGTATGAATCAAAATGCAAAGGTCTCTAGAACATATGGTAAGTGAGTACACACACTTTGATTAATTTGGGATATATTAGTATCACATGACCATGTGCAGACATATGTAAACCATAAGAGAAATTGTGATAGAACTGGCAGGTGATATGGTAGTTAAGGTGCTGGACACTCCCACATGGCCGACCATGGTTCGAGTCCTGGACCTGGTGGCTTGCTTTCTCACTTTCCCTCTCTCTATGAGTCTCTCTTTCTGATCAAATTAAAATAAATGAATCAATAAATAAAATAATTCTTTTTAAAAAAAGAAATTGTGAGAATGTTTCTAGTGACACCATACTTTCTGCTAGAAAGAAAACAAAAACTTAGTATGGAAACAACATTTCCTCTTTGTAAATAAAGTTTTTAAGCAAAAAAAAAATAACCTCAATATTCCTCTTTGCAACATGGACTGAGCTCTAAAAGATTCATAGTCAAGGATCTCAACAGTTGTCTCCCACATAATAAAACACAAACTTTCTCTCTGTCTGTTTAGGAATTCTGATCATCTCTAGTGTTTTGTCTTAAAAACTTCTTTCCAAGATACGAGGTAGCCACGTGTTAAATTCTTCCTGCTGCCCACTTTACACCTGATGTAACCATACAGATTGGCACTTTGTTGCACCACACCCATGATAACCACTGCCAACCACTTTACTCTGGAGAAAAGAGCACTAAAGGCAGAAACCACCCATAGCACTAACCACCCATAACACTAACCAATAAAACTCTGAAACAGTTTTATTCTCTTGAGGAGATGTCTTTTTGGACTCAACCAACCAATAGACCTTTCCATCTTCATCAGTATGGTTTCACCAACATAAGCCGACCATTAGTCTACCTGTGACATTCTTCACTGCCCCCAAAGTCACATGACAGTAACAAGATAATCATCACCATATAGGCAGTAAAGCTGCTGCTGAGCAGTTCACAGAGAAGATAGATATAATTGCACTGAATCAAAGAATAAATGGAAAAATGCCACTGGATGTCTGCTTTTGGATATTTTTTGTCTATTGTTTCTTCTTCAGCATTAAACAGTGAAACACCTTCAGTGTCATCATTACTGTTCTGCTGCAACATGGCAACCCCCGATTTACTTATCATTTAAGAATGTGTTCTTACTATTTTTTTCACTAGAATCCAAAACTTTTAAGGTAGAATTTCAGCCAATACTTAGAAATTCTTGTCATCTAACAGGTTAAAATATTAATTATTTACTTGTGTCTCCATATCATACCAGTTCTTATCTTTTCTTTATGAACAATGTTGATTCATTCCAAAGTGGGTACAAATATTAATTAAACAATTTTTTTTTAACCTAAGAATTTGACATCTGCAGTATATGGTGTAGTAAACCAGTTTCTGTCCTGCAAGATTACTGTGATGCCATTAAAATATACATCTTCTGGCCACTTCTTTTTCAACGTCAACATAGTTCTTTAATATCACGATTACATCCCTGTGTGGAGGCCAAGTAAGTTAGTCTTTGTTACTCATTTTGTGTGAGCAGTGGATAAGTTTGTTGCCTACCTAGTACAGAGTAATACCAAGGACAGTGGAAGACTTATGTCTCATTCTTGTATTCTGTCCAATTTTACTTTAGTTTTAAAAGTATAAATGGAATAGTGTTAAATTGTAGACTTGAAGTGGAGTCAGGAAAAATTAATATACTTGTTTGTAAATATCAATTTGTAGTACAGAAGAGAAAAAAGGATGTGTTTTGTTCATTTAATAAATAGCTTGTTTGTTGTTACCCGAAATGAAGAAAAATGGAACCTAGTAATTCTTCAAAGAGTTTAAGTTAAGGTATAAAATATAGATAAGCATAAAGTTCAATGAAATTGTTTATATGAGAACCTAATCTTTTAAAAAATAAATTTGCCTTTAAGCAATTCTGGTGCTTCTGAGATAAGTTTGAAGAAATTACAGTATCTTGAGTTGATGGAAGATATTGTAGATTTGGCAAAGAAAGTTGCGGTAAGTAGTAGACTGTAGGCCCCTCTCTTATTTAAAGAATATAAATATTTCTGTGGTGTCAAGCCTATATTGCTAGTTTATAGCAGGTAACAGGTAATGTTTTCAGTTTTGGTGAACCTGAGAGGATTCTGCTGCTCACGGTGGCTGCGCAGTAGTTGGGTGCCATTGTAATATTGACATGCCGTGGTAGGGACCAAGATTGCTAATTATCATTTTAGGCTAGAAGTTAGAATTTGTCACAGGTCAAAGTGGGCCCTTGTTCATAGAAACCTCTTTAAGTTCCGAAGGTCATGGGCTCTAGTTTTTGACATAAAAATATGCCATTACCAGCAGTATTTTTTCTTTGGAGTAGACTTGATCAGGGCATATTTAAGGATGTGTGTGTGTGTGTGTGTGTGTGTGTGTGTGTGTGACAGAGAAATGGGGGTGGGGGGTGAAATCCCTTTTCTCCATTTCTCCATCCTGTCAAGGTTTTGAGCATGTACACACACATGTCCTGTGTGTTTTTTAAACCACTGGAGCTGGAATTTGAACTGTGGTTGCCATGTGGGATCTGACTCCTTTAGTCACTTGGCTATAGGGTTGGTCCCTTGGGGTTTTTTGAAAGCCATTTGATCCTTTCTTATTTCAGTTGGTTATAGAGTCAAGTATTATTCTTCATTACAAACTTAAATTTAGCAAGGGCATTTTAATGTTT